TTTTTTTTTTTTTTATGCTCAGAAATCCCCCGAGCTCACTTTGTGATACCAAGTTAGAAACTGGAACCTTCCATCAAAATTCAACAATCTTTAGAAGACAGGAAACTATAACTTTTATCATGACGTGCCCATGAGGTGGTTCGAACCCAGACCTTATGGGAGCAAACCAAAGGCCTAACAATTCCAACCAACACCTCATGAGTATTAGCCGTATCCATTCCACATGTACTGAACAAACAAGAAAGGAGAAAAGGCCAAAAGCTCATACCCAGTAGGAATCAGTCCATTTCTTATGCTTGTAAAGAATGCTATGCACATTATCTGCATCAACAAACAACCACACATTCAGTTCAAAAATCAAGAAATCCCATCAAAAAATGAACTAAAACAAACTCATAAAAATCAGAAAAAAAAGGGGACAATTACAAGAATGATCAAGAAGCAGGACTCTTGAGTCGGCAGTATCCAAAATCATGATGTCGTTATAACTGCTTCTCACTGAAGTCAACACTCGATAGTCTTCCTCTTCCTCTTCCACCTCTTGTCGTTTTTGCTGCTCGTGCCTCTCCGCATTTGCCATCGCTTTGGGAGTTCGTTTATCGAAAAGCGACCGAATTGAAACTGAAGGCCACGGTTTCGAACGGCAACGGCGACCACGCCGCGAAACTGCGTCATTGGAAGGATTAATGGAGATCGGGAATGGATTTAGCCATAACCCGCCAACACGACTGGAATTACATGACGCCCATGGATGAGCTCCAACATTGGTTTCGTGTCCTAAAAGCACTGTATCATTCCTTAACAGCGCCATCACACTTCCCTTCTTTGCCGTTCCAACGTCTTTTGTTATTTTCTTCTTATCTACTGTACTTTAAAAAAAAAATACTTTGCCTGCACGTGCCGTGCATATTCTTCTTTTTAATTAATTTCACTGCTCGTGGTAATAACAATATAAAGATTTATTTATAATTTTATATAATAATTTTTTATTATAATAAAAAAATTAAATGTGATTGTTCTTCAATAATTTTTATTATAATAAAATTTAAATTTTAAATTTAAATTGATAAAATAAATAAAATTTAAATATATAATAATATCATTAGTGTCATTTTGTTCTCGTGTTTTTCATCCATTTATAAATCTTCCTAAAACGGAGAATACTCATTCATTTCTACTCGAACGATAGCCCTAATTTTTACTCAAGTCTCCACACAACCGCATCCGCATAACATATTATTGAGCATGGGTGGTAAAGTAAGATTGTAGAAGTAATCTAATAATCTTTTTTTTTTTTATATGAAGTAATCACACAAAAGTCTATTTTAAGAACCAATTTTTTATAAAATGTTTATTTCTAATATTATTCTGTCTATATATATATATATATATATATATATATATTAGAATTAGTTAGAGATATTGTTATGATCCACTTAATAAGGTGAGAGTAATCTTTCTTTAACAAGCCAGTTTTGTTAGGTTGGGTTAGGCCTAATATATTTTAATTTTTGTAAAATAGTATCAAAGCAGACCCAATTTTATAATGTTGGGTCCCCAAATATCAATTTATTCGCAGCGATTTAGCATAATTCACGCTGTGGGTGAGGGAGCGTATTAGAATCTCATATTTGCTAGAAATATTAGTATTATCCACTTAATAAGGTAAGAATAATTCTCCCTTAATAAACTGATTTTGTTAGGTTAAATTAGGTCCACTATCTTTTAATTTTTATAATATATATATATATATATATAAAGAGCGCATCAGCCAGGAGGAGGCGTTTGACCTCCTTGCTTCTCATTGGAATTTGAGTTTTTTTTTCTTTTTTCTTTTTTTTGCTTTTTTTTAACCTTTATTCGGTTGTTCTTCATTATATGTTTGGAGTTTGTCACTTTCTTGGGTTGATGCGGTGGAGATAGCCAACGGGAAAAAGCTTCATCATCCATTTTTTAATTTTTGTTTCTTTTGTTGTCCCTATGATTTTTTTTTTACCACATCAACTTGAAGTAAACACATAAAAAACTCAACATTTCAAATTTAGGAATGTCGAACTTATTTTTATTTTAAATTTTAAACATCTAAATAAATGTTAATTATATAATAAAATCACTTATAATTATTTGAAGATAACTCTTAATTAATCGATCGTTATAAAAAAAGCATGTGTAATAGAAAGATTTCAAATTTAATTTTTATTTCTTTTGTTGTTCCCTCCCTATGATTTTTTTTACCACATCAACTTGAAGTAAACACATAAAAAACTCAACATTTCAAATTTAGGAATGTCGAACTTATTTTTATTTTAAATTTTAAACATCTAAATAAATGTTAATTATATAATAAAATCACTTAAAATTATTTGAAGATAACTCTTAATTAATCGATCTTTATAAATAAATAAAAAAACATGTATAGAAAGATTAGTTCAGATTTTTGTTAAGAAAAAAATTACACATCTATGATAGAAAGCGAGAGTAAATCTATATGGACAAAAAGAATACTCTAAATAAATATCAAACAAATGTCTAAATTTAGTACATATTATAGTTGGAGGTAAATTTACCACCAAATACAAAATATATATATATATATATATTAAATGTAGTATCAAGAATTGTTAAATTTTTTTATTGTCCTATTTTTTAGGAAGCTATAGAAAGTAGAATGAAGATAAAGATTTTCATAGTGTTTCCCTTTTTATCTCGGAAACTAGACAATTAAATTGATTTACACAAATCACAAATGAGTAATTGTAATCTTTATCTATTTTCTCCCTTTTTTTATATATATATTCTTTGAACGACTGTGTTTTTAGGCCTTTTGTGATTATTAGGTCATTTATTTTTTACAGACGTTACATTGTATCACTTAATTGGAATGGTTGAATAGAGAAAGAAAAAGATTTTGTTGCGGAAAAAAAAAATATTGAGGAAATTTTCAAGCAAATTGAAAAAAAAAAAACAGAAATGTATAATGATAAGCAGAAAACAACAATCTTTTATGTAACTATACTGCCATTGTTTTAAATTTATAGGAACAAAGTAAGTTCATACACATTTTATTCAAGTTTTTAATGATTTGAATGTTAAAATTCATGAAAATCCAGTGTCTTAGTGATAGTAATATGAAATGGTTGATCACTATAGAAATATAACGAGTATGTTTCAAGGGAAAAAAATACTGAAATATACTTGGGAAAATACCATCTGAATCAAAGTGAAAAAAAAAAAAAACAATTATAAAATAGCCCAAACCATATATATAACGACGAGAAAGAAGCAATGATCTTTTATAGTTTTGTATTTCCATGACTAAAATTTGTAAAAAAAAAAAATTATAATTCAATGTGAATGTTATTTGGAAAGATTGGCGTCTTGATGGTAAATGTGATGGATAATTTCGGGCAAAATAAACAAAACAAATAAAAAAAACTTAAAAAAAAGTTATGACAAAAAAAAAGTACAAGTGAAGAAGAGAATAATAAATGTTCAAAGTCAAATTTAAAAAAAAAAAAAAAAAAAAAAAAAAAAAAAAAAAAAACAGAGAGAGAAACGCCTCAGAGAGAAAATCATGTTTGGTTGTAGAAAGAACATCATATATCAACCATCAATAAATTACTACAACAACATATATAAACTATTTTCACATTCTCTTAATGCAACTACAATATTTATCTTTTTAATGAACTTAATATTAATGTAACTCAGACTTCTATATGGTGTTTAATTTGAAAACAAAGGCACGTGCTTCTGCACGTGCCACACTTTACTAGTGTATATATTAAAATTGACGGTTTGTAGGACCCGTTTTACCCTTTTTGTATGTTTTAATACTAATCACTATCATAAAGTTGAAATCTTTATGATAATAATGATCATTGTTGCATGTTGTATACACAAATCCGACCCTTTTAAATTCATAATCTTATTTTATTATCATAAAGTTGCAATCATTACCATAATTACACATAAAAATCTGACCTTTTAAAATTTAGTCTTATTTCCTTATCATAAAACTGCAATATTTATGCTCACATTCGTTGATTATTGTAGTATTTTTGTTGTTCAATTTAATTAATTATGATGACCACAATCATAAACTTGTGATCTTTACGATAATAATTCTATTACATATTGGAAAAAGAAAATGAGATTGTAAAAAAAAAAAAAACGATTTTTTGTACAACTGAAGAAAATGAGATTGTAAAAAAACGATATTCGAGAAAGAAAAAATAAAAACGGGAGAGAACGACATTTGACACAATTAAAGACAAAAAACAGAAATGAAAATGATTTTTTGTTTTAGTATAAAATGGGAGAGAAATGAAAAATGACTTTTAGTCATTTTTTATTTTTTGTTTCTGTTTTCTCCTCTCTCGAGCACAGAGGGAGAGAGAGACATTAATGAATTTTTTTTATAGTGAAAACAATCTCTTGATAAAACTACCAAACGTATTTTCAAAAATGATTTCTGTCTGAGATTGAAAACTTTTTCATTTTCGTTTGCATACAAAAAATAAAATCATTTTGAAACGAGTTCTAAACGCACCCTATGGTCTGATCATGGTTCTTCTTTATTGTAATTTTTTTTATTAATTTTCCATGAATGATATTACTTATTGTTTTGCTTTTCATTTTCATTATAATATAGTCATTATTTTAATAAAAATACTTATTCTTTTTATACACATTTTTTGTTTAGGTTTTTTGTTTTTTGAATTGGAATTTTTCTTTTATTATAGTATGATCATATTTCTTCTTTATTTTAATGTTTTTTTTTTTATGTTTTTCAGTGAATGATATTACTTATTGTTTTATTTTTTTTTATTATGGTTTGATCATTATTTTAGTAAAAATACTTATTCATTCTGTACATATTTTTTTGTGAGTTTTGAGGTTTCAATGGCTGCTGGAATCGTTTTTAAGTTTGGGGTTTTTGACTTTTTTGTCTAGTTGTAGAGCTTTAGGGGCTGCCTTTTTTTTTTTTTTTTTTAATGAATAAATAGTTTATTCTTTTTATTTTTTCCTTTTTAGTTAAAGAAACTCTCTTTTATATTGATAATTTTATTAAACGCAATTGTTGTGCTTTTCACAATAATTAACTTTTCCATATTTAAAATTTATAATGTATAATGTTCAAATTTTCTCACTTTCATACTTTTTTTGTAATTTAATTATTTTTTTCTTTTATTTCATTATATGAGAATAAAAATGTCTTTATACATATGATAGTCGATAGTTTTGTAAATAAATAAGAAAGTAAGCATTTTTAGACACAAGGTTGTTGCTCATAATCGACGTTTATGTAAATAACCCATTTGTGAAATCCCCACGTACGCTAAAAAGAAAAGGTAGAAAAATGTAATCCAAACCGTTTGGATTTTAAGATCCAGAATCACAAAATTACAAAGATTCACTTCCATCTCCTTGAATCAAAAGAGTGAAATTTCAACTTGAACTCTCAAACCAATTACTCCCAGCCCAAGCTTTTACGATTACAAAACCTTCCCACAGCTGAAACTGAACAAAAAACAAACTATATAAAACTCAAAAAGCAAATAGGTGAACCGCCTCGCTAGCTTTTCCGATTCTCATTCTTGTAAAATTTTGGTTTGATGTCCATGCCGCAATCATTTGTGCGCCTTGTATATACCGACAAAAAGATTGGCAACCTATTTACAAATTTTCCTGTTGTCCAAATGGCATATACAAATGAGATTGAAGATATAAACAGGAAGCAAAACCCAGCTGAAACAATTACAAGAACAAAGAAGAAAAGAATGTAGAAACCACCCATCCAGAAAGCCTCAAACTTCAACGTTGCCTGGAGAGGGACCAAAAAAAAAAAAAAAAAGTGTCAAGGACGGCACATTAAACATTGCATATGATGTATCAGTTAACGAGATCGTCAACAATGGCCAAAAACAATTGTATATTACAGGAGTTCTACACTGTATCACTAATGGGATTAGTACAGTTGGTTATAATAACAAACAACCAAGGCAACAAATGCCCTTAAATTATTAATAGAGATGTGCATTACCTAACCCATCAAGTTTAAAACCATTAGTGATCTCAAATTAGACAGAAACATTAGCACGAACCAGGCTTGGTGGCCCTTAAAAGAGGGGGGAAAGAACCGAATGTCAAGTGTGTGTCAGCCAGAAGAAACAAATCTTCTATAGCTAGAGTGCAGATCATAAAAATCCATATTCCTGGTTTGGGATTTCTTTTTTCCTATTCTTAAAGAACCCAAAAGACAGACTTGAGACATCTAAATCCAAAATATTGCCATTGCCTAATTTATACATTGCCTTTTGAGAAAATGAACCTGAACATATTCGTATCCATGGCCCTAAAATTTTTCAGAAAGAGAACCCCGAGACATTATACCTACTCCTTTTTCGTTCAATCTTTTTCTTTCCTAATTGAACCGTGTAAGATGGAAACATGTTACAAGGCTGAAAGACTCACCCAATATCCCAGATTTTGAAACAGTGGGAGTATCGCCCGGCTATGGCATCTTCAACGCCTGTTTTAGTTGTGCAAATGCTGCAGGATGCATGCTACTAATGGCCGCATTAAAAGATTCCCCATAGAGGGCTGCACATGTTTGTAAATTTTCTCTCACTGAGGCCTCAAGTGATAATTGGTTGATAGGATCTGAAAACTTTATCTGACACATGATATGACAAATCAATCAAAAAGAAAAGAGAAGAGAAGAAAGAAAAAGGCAGAACTAAATTTTCTGATCGCAGTACTCTCAGGTATATATGCCAAAGGGACTTTACCTGTCTTCTTCGCAATTCTCTACTTGGAATAGTATCTGCACCATGAGCCCTGCTGGAAATCGTATTATCACCACTGCCATTTATCATATTTGCAACACAAACACGATTAAAATATATATACTGTATACACTGACTTCTGAAAGATGTATAATAAGGGATCTAACCTGGATTCCTCTTCTGATATGTCATCATTGCTACCTAAGATTACACTCGTACACACACTACACACATACAAAAGCATGATTGTAAGACGCATCCACAAGTATGTTAACAATCCATAAGTCTCATAGTTGAAATCATACCTCAGGATCTGATCAAGTTTCTCAAGGATTTGAGGCAATCTTAATTTCAGAATGATAGACAAGGCTAAACCATATGCCTTCCTCTGAACAGAAGAGACATTATCAACCTATGACCAAACAAAGGTTTAGAGAAAATTAGGGCAAGAACTTAGCCCAGGGAGATCTGCACGAGGCAAATACTTAAACCTTCAGGGAATCAACAAAAGCACCTAAATGTAACCTATGACATGATATGAACTTGCAATAGAAACATGACGTGTAGCTGCGGAACAAAAGTTATTTCAACTTCCAACTTAATAACCACAAAATTCCATCATACGAGTTAATAGTATACAAAGAGCTCATACTTTTCATAGGCATGCTGACCATGACACTTAAATTAACTTTCATTTCTTAAAGATCTCTTAATTGTAAAACTTTTCTTACATCTAGGAAATATCTGAATGGTCAAAAGAAAGATGAAGCTAATAGATGGTTACCATAGTGTTTGCCTATAAATATTCCTAAACTGCATGATGGTACTTGTAGTTGGCATTTTAAGAATTGATAGAAATTCTAGTTAGCAGAAGTAAAAGAATGCAAAGAAATTACAATTCACTGTCTGCCTAATTAAAGACAACTTAGACAACTGGAGTACTCAAACAGTTAAAATAGTGACAACCCGCATAATTGAACTGAGTACATAATTACGATTAGTGGATAAAATATCTATGCATGCAAGAATCTCGTCAGTACAAACAAATTCAGGAAAGATGCTGTTTTGGGCTTCTAAATATAATTATGGAATGGAAATTCAAACAATCTTGACAAATTACCCTGACGTAAAGATTTGTGCTATACAAACCTTATCAAGCCATACATCAATAAGACCAAGAAGTACATTTTCTCCAATTGAGACACCTGAATTTTGAAGAAGTTGTAAAAGTGACGACTCTGCAGCCAACTGAGCTAGAAAATTTGTATTCATAACCAAAATTCTTGCAAAGATGGCAGCTGAAGATGCTTTAACAGTTGTCTTAGATGGTTCGTAGTCATCTCCTCCACTCAGACATACAACCATTAATTTCTAGCAACATTGAACAGAATCCCGAATTGATAAAATGCCTCAAAAATAACAAGCATATACAAAATTACAGATCTTGACAAGCAAAAAACTACGCTTACTCGTAAAGTACTACTGATCAAGGGGGGTACTTCCATAGGAAAACACTGCAAAGTAGCAATATAAATACCTTAGCTGATTGCATTTGTTGGGGTATGACTGATAATTTTCAAAACCTCAATAATAGCTATAAATTAGAATTATATGATTGCATTGCTTGTTTTTATTTGTTAGAAAACAGAATAATTATTAAAAATAACAAAAATGAAAACAGAAATAAAGACAATGGCGGTAGCATCTCTTGCTTATAATAAAAAAAAAATTGCGGTAGCATCACTTTAAGATCGATTTTAGAAAGCTTATGACCATGTTGAATGGTCATTTGATGATTTTGTTTTAGAGAAGAAAGATTTTGGTGATAGGTGGAAGAGTTGGATGTTCAGTTGTATTTCCAACATGTCCTTTAAGATAATGAGTAAATGGTAGGCCACATGGTAAGTTTCAGGGTTTAAGAGGACTTGAAAAAGAGGATCATTTTGTCTCCTTTTTTGTTTTAAGTTTGTTGTTGATGTGTTGGGGAGAATGCCTGCCACTACAAGTTCTAGATCGGTGTTTTAAAGGTTTCTCAATAGGCAATGAATTGTGGGAAGTCTCCCATTTACAATTTGCTGATGACACTTTTTTTTTGGCAATGAGGAAGCTAATCTTAAGAATGAAGCTTAATTTGGAGAAGAGTGTTCTTCATAGCCTAGCTAATCTAATTGGGTGCTTGGTATGCGGTTGGCCTGTTAAATCTTTGGGCCTCCCCTTGGAAGGCAATCCCTTGAAAGGGAATATTTGGAACCTGGTAGTGTCAAAGGTGAAGAAAAGGTTGGATAGATGGAAAAGTCTTATTTTTCTAGAGGAGAGAGGTCAAGGCTTATTCGTTCAAGCTTTAGTGTCTCAACAAATTTACTATATGTCTATATTTTAATTGCTGAAAAGTCCCGATCATCATTAAAGTCACTCCATTCACGATTTGGAATATTCCATTCTTGAGTGTGGCAAAAGTTATGGAGAAGTTGATCAGGGATTTTTTTTTTCATTTTTTTTATCTTTTGGACTGAAGGGATGGAGGTGCTGATCATTTTGTTTTTTGGGAGCACCGGGAGGTGTTGTGGAGACTATTAACGAGATTTATAGATGAGAGTTATGCAAGAGTGCTCTTTAAGATGTGACGATTTGTTTATATCCTCTTTATCTCTTTGGCTCCAACAAGAGGGGTAAGAAAATTTGGAATATTGCTATCCTGGGTTTGTGGTGGGCATTATGGTTAGAACGGAGTAAGAGAATCTTTGAAGACTTGGAAGGAAAGCGAAGTATGGGACAGTGAAATTTTGGGTTGCAATTTGGTTGCATAAAGATCAAGACTTCAGTCATTTCCAATTTTCAGATTTGGTTCGGTAGTGGTAATTGTTGATGCACTTTATTTTATTTTATATGATTGTTCTCTCAGTTTTTTTTTCTTTCCATTTTTATGATCTTTTTGTCCAAGTGGCTTCCTGTTCTCCTTGCTTTGTACTGCATTATTCTTTCTACCTTAATGAAGTTTTGTTTCCTTTTTGTTTTTGTTTAAAGAAAAGAGGTACCTGTATTAGAGTATCAATGACTGGAAGAGTTGAAAGTAATCCGCTATCATTGACATTTCCAACAATCAGATCAAGAAGTTTGGCAACATTGGAAGCATGCGTACTTAGAAATTCCATTCCACCCAAAATAATGTAATCATCAATTATGTTGATGCCAACCTGCAATCAAGTTCCAGTCAACAGTATATAAGACACAAACACAAAGAAACATAAAGGCAGAGGCAATAATCAGCAACCGATACAATACCAACTCTATAGGGCCCGTTTGTTTTGTGTATTCTTCATGGGTTTAAACCCATAGTTTTAATTCTGTTACAATATTTTTCTCTCAGAAAAATTTGATTTTCAAAATTTAGAATAAAAAATCACTGGTTTAAACGCAGGAACCAAACAAACCCTATAGAAACTTAATATGCAAGGTCTTTGTGGCGACTTTAGAGCACAAAGCAAGCAAGAAGGAAAAATATTAGCAAGGCAGTTAAGCAAAAATAAAAAAGTAATCATGAAATATTTTACAGGGAGAGAGAGTTATCCTCTAGACATTTTGAAAAAAAAAAAAAAGGGGGCCTAATCTACCAAAAAAGGATCATTAGTATAGTTTCTTGTTCCAAAATGAAAAAGAGTATTCATTAAATAAACAAATAGGACTTTTCTTCGTGTCATTTTATTTCCATTTCACACATCAGAAGCAAGCAACAGAACTAGCAACACCTGCTCAAAGCTGTCCCCCCTGTAATAAGAGGTAGAACAACAAACAATTACAACTTTTTCCTATTCTTTCTTTCAATATCATTTTATAGCCCACAGAAGTTGAATGTCCATTCATTGGATGATCGTAGCCACTGAAAGCAAGCAAAATGCCATCTGCAACCTCAACACCTCAATCACAAATCCAAAGAACTACCACTCATAAACCATTCCTTTCCACATGAGCCTTGTGCAACTCAATGAGTAAAGTAATTGTAATATGTACACACATAAGGAGCCACACATTTTTTATTTTTTAATTCAAATAGTTTTCAGTAACAAAACAGTTTTTAAGTTGCAGCTTGCAAAGTCATTGTGTAGTTATCACACATTGATAAGAATAATTTGCTTGAAAACTGACAAAATAAGATCAATTTAGCAAAAAAAAAAAAAAAATCCAAACGCACGTATTAGAAACAAAATCAATACGAATGACTTGTCATGTGGTAATTGATCAACATATCTAACCTCCAAGTGATCAAAACTTCTTTCCATGATTTCCACTAGACAAGGGAAGTATGCATACAGTTGAGGCACTATCGAAGGAGCATGACAAAGCGTAGCTTCCCATAACTGCATACCAACCATTTAAGTATGATAAAATATGAGATAATGGAAGTCGATTCAAAATTAAAAATTCATAATAGCTAACCAGCATGCTGTCCTCCAAAAGATTGAGTTCATCGGGGCTATTGATGTCGATTCCCTTTTGCAGAATGGGCAGTAGCACATCATAGCAAACAGGCGACTGATAGCCCAATGCAACAACAAAGTTCTTGAGAGCAATAAGAAGTTGAATCTGAAGAAGGCTTTCACCAAAAGAATCCTCCCAAACCTTTAAAAACAAAAAAAAAAAAAAAGGATCAGAAACAATATTGAATATTCTGAAACCTACTTGAATATTCTGAAACAATCGCATCACTGCATTAATGAAGCAAAAGGCCAAATTTAATCATGAGCCCTTTATGGTGAATATGTCTCTTAGTTGAGTTCCTTACATTTAAACAATGAAACTAAAATTCTTAATCAATACCAACAAGATCAAATCAGTAATGCTCCACTGAAGTTATTAACCTATCTGCTTTGGTGTTCTGTCAGCCATGTTATACGTTCAATACGGCACAAATCTTACTAGACCCGGCCAGCCCCTAAAAATCTCTAAGGTTCTCTTCAACCATAAAACAAAAAATCCACAGAGGATTTGCATTCCAAACATCTCAATTGTGATTCTTGGCAAAACAAAACATGCACCCAAGCAAAATGGTGGGACTGACTTTGCAAAACTGAACGAAACATGAGCAATGAGAGAAAACAAGCCAGAAATCTTTTCAAGCAGCTAAAAGAAGTAGACAAGATGAACAACAGTTTACTCCAGCTCCTTATTTGTTCTCCTAACTAATATCCTTTAGCTCACAGTCTTAAAAACATAAATGTTCTCCCATAATCCTATGATACTCAACATTCCTGATGCTACATCGTGGAAAATAAAGTACCTAAGAACAATTCCTATTTATGCCAGATAACAGTTTTGGTGGACAGACGCCAAAACTAAACTCGGATGCTCACATGGTGAGTTTGATTTTTTTATTTTTTTTAAATAAGAAAACACCTTCATTGATAGGAAAATCAATTACAGGTAAAAGAGGACAAGATATCTTCTAAGCAAATGAAAATAAAAAGAAAAGGAATTAATGTAGAAAGAACTAAATGAGAACCCAGAAACAAAACTAGCTCTCCTCATAACATCTTTCCAACTTCAAAAGGAAAATGGCAACTCCTTAAATGCTTTATCCGTCGAGGCCCGTAGTGAAGCTAGGTATTTCTCTTTCTCAAAAGCATCCGCCACCTCCATTTCCTTCTCCTCGGAATGTGATGTTTAAAATAACAAATAAAAAAATATGCTCTTCAAACTATGAGTTCAAAGATATCTAGTTATGTCACGGTTTGCACCGCATATGCAAAATGGCTATGTGCTAGAAAACTCATGACAAAAATAATTACCTTCTGGAAAAATGGCACCAATTTGTTTGCAAATGGAAGGACTTCAGTCACGTGTTCAATAAGAATGGAGACCAGATTTAAAATCTGTACCTGAAAGTCATATATGAGATTAAAGTAGCATCGTAAGTTGTTAAAAGAAGAACGGTTGTATGTTAACAAAGCTAGGGATCTTGCAAAATCCAAAGGTATTTAAGAAAAACAAAAACCTGAGCTTTACATTCCAGGTGTGAAAGAGACTTGCAATATGAAACTAAAACTACTAAATCCTAGTGTTCCCTGCATTGTCCTATACAATGCAGCATAGTAGTAATGCTTGGATTACAAGGAAACAAATGCAAAACTTTCTTTAAATAAATAAGAAAAAGCCCTCTAATTGACTAATGAATAAATACAAAGGACAGAGGATACTGTATCCTCAAGAACAAAATTGAAATCAATGAAAATTACAAAATACAAAAACAACAAAACTATAGGGAAAGCTGTAACAAAATCCCAAAAAACCAATACTAACCCTAGTGACCAATCACATATTTCAAGTTAAGGACTATCATGGAGAAAGGGAAATTTTCGAATGCTTTATCCGTCGACACCCGCAAGTAAACTGAAAATTTAGGCTTCTCATAGATGTCAACCAGCTCCATCTATTTTTCTTCAAAGATTCTTGTGTTTCTCTCCAACCAAAACTTTATGCAAAGCACTAGGGGAGCGCTTTTTTTTTTTTTTTGCTGGAATCTTTAGGAGACACTTGATATTTAATAAGCGAATTTATTTGTACTATCATTGTGAAGCAGCAGTTAAATGTACTTTTTTTCTCACAAGAAACTTGAAGCTATTTAAGATAAAAGCCAATATTACAGATTGAAGAAACAAGAGGTCCTCTACATATTACATTAAAAAAAAAAATTATGCTATATATACCTTTGAATCAAACTCTTGAACTTCCTCAACCAACTTAAAACATGAATCCCAGCATATGGGAAGAAGATCAGTGAATTCTTTCTCTGAAAAGTTAGCATCTTCAATATGCAGACACAATGACCGACAGGCTGCCAACTAGATTCATAGAGCACAATCTCAATCATTGATATGACTAAGAAATACTATTTATAAAAAAAAGAGCACCATTCAACATACTCCGACAGATAGGTCTTTGTCCTGCAGCAATTTTATCAGAGCACAGTACACTGGTCGTTTTGTGTCATCTTTAATCTGCCAGAAAATTTACCCAAAAAAAAAAACCAATCATTTATACTTATTATCAAGGCCGAGGAATATGAAGCATTGTAAACCCATGGGAAGGATATACACATAAGCACATGAGCTAATTAACAGAGTCAAGAAAAAAAAAAAAAAAAAAAAAAAAAAAAAAGGGTTTTCTCCGCAAATTATTCATTTAACCCGCTTCCTTCTTTACTAGCAAGGGAGACACTTATTTGGATTTTTATGGTTGAGAAAATGTTAAGTAAGAAAATTGGCTGCAATGAAAAAAGAAAACATGGACTTTAAAAAATATTTGCATTCATCAACCAACGCCATAATGAGGAAAAACTTCAACATAGTATGCGTCACGCAGACTTTTTACAAAACTGAGAAAAGTTAAACTATGCGGCTCAAGAAGTTATATCACCTCAGATACCCATTGTCCCAGTATAAGTGCAACTTTCCGATGGATGATCCGCATATTTGGATGATCATTTGAGAGATCAAGAGATAATGCACCATTAAACCTGCAAAATAAAATGAGAACTTTGGTGAAAGGAGAAAAAAACAAAAGGAAACTTCACTGGATGAAAGATAAATCATGTTACAATGATCTGGCTTTAGGGGAAAAAAGAAACCAGCATAGAAAGATGAAATCATCAAATATAACAAACCCATAAAGATCTCAGAGATTCAGATGAGGGTATCAGAAAAGAAAACTTCATTAAGATAAAAAAGAAAAAGGATACATGTAAAGGATGGGATTCCACCTAAGCAAAGAAAGAAAATAAAAACTACACAAGGAAATCCAATCCCTTCCCTCAAATAATAATAATAATAATAATAATAATCCAATCCCTCAACAAGCTCACAAACAAAACACTCCTAAAACCTTTTTCACCATGTGACCACAAGGCTAACTGAAAACCTCATTTATCCGAATTACATCCACATCTTCTGATATATTAGAGACTGCAATTAATAGAAAAGTCAAGGCTAAATCACAAGGATAGCCGACCATACTGTCCAACCATCTCCCTAACAAGATAATCCTCATTCCTATGTACATATAATCTTTGAAAAGGATGATTGAAGTTCATTCTGTTGACAAAGAAACAAATGAGCTTCATGATTGTTCTACTTAAACCAGCTTTGTCGCTGCATAGTTCCCAGTAAAACTGCTGAGGCTATAAAATATGTTGAGATGAATATAGTCTGCATTTATACATTTTAAGGGAAAAAAGTACAATGATACCCTTTACAATAAATTACCAAATATATGCACTATAATTTTCCATTGCAATGAAAAAAAAGGAAGATATTGCTTCTTCAAAATTAAAAATGATTTAAACTTTAGGCAATGATGTAAATGCATTATGCAATATAAAAGATAAAACATAATAGCCATTCCTAAATAGAAAGATTATAACTATGCACGGACCAATCTTTAAAGCTCAGGTAATTTGAAAGCTCATAATAAACGTATGCAGCAGCACCATAAGCAGCATCTTTAAGAAGCAACCCTGGAGTGAGTTCAGTAACTGATGTGGGGCAACCATTCATTGCTTCTTGAAGGATGGAAACCACAACAGGACCTAGAAGCTAAAATGTAAGAACTCAATCACGTAAGTATTTATTTATTCACGCAAAATATATATATATATATATATATATTTAGCTGAAATTATCCTAGATATTCCATAACAGCAAAAGCCACTAACCTCAGTGTGGTTATGAAACAAAACAATATACAAAGCCTCAGCACAAGGCCTTAATTTTTCTGTCCATTGAACCATATCTTGCTCATGATGAAACAATTCAGGATTCTGGTACCACGCCTCCAAATCATTAGGAGTCAAAACAAAATACCTGTAGAAATATTATTGTCATCACAACTATTAGAATAACTTTATTGACATAGGTCCTGAGATAAAGCAGCAGTACGAGATATGCATCAGAAGCATATAACAATTTATTCATTTTGATATCAGCCATGCAACTCGTCGTACTAATTTCATCATCATAAGATGGTATTAGCACAAAGATGACCACCTTGTCAGAAAACTAATATCTTATCTTCATGCCTACTATAACCAGTCTTCTACGAGTGACTTTCACTATAACAAATTCCCAGCTCTATTTATTGGCCTGAGCAACATACGACTAATTCCAAAGTAATTTAATGAACAATTCTTGTGAATGACTTTAAGACACATTAACAATGAAAGTTTTAAAAATACTAGGAAAACAACATCTCTTACTTTCATCTATTTACTATGTTTTATTTTTTTCACTGCCCCCTCTGTTATCCTTTTGACAAGAATAGGAATAACAGCTAATTCAGATGTTCACACACAAAAGCAGAACTTGAACAAAGACCAAGACCAGAAATCTGATTTTATCATGTATCCTTTTATATTTTCAGAGTAATTGCGGGATTGTAATTCTATGATGTAATTTTGCACCTTATTGCGGGTGAACTTCTTGTCCTCCTTTACTTGTATTTATTCTTTTTTACCATTAACAACATACAGTTATGTTTCTTGTAAATAATAATGATGACGATGATGATGATGATAGCAACTAGTCATGTGCACCATTATCAAAAAACACACATGCTACATGCAACAGAAAACATTTTAATGGGTACCAAAAGAACCAGATAAAGGCATGGCAAAAAAGATAAATGTGAAAAATAGGTCAGAGTACCATTACCTTCTTATCAATACATTGCATAAGTGTATTATACGTTCACTTGGCAAAAGCGAAGTCAAGACACCATTAACAGCATTGGATATGTTTTTCTTCATCTGTTCCAGTGTAGCTCCATTTTCTTCTATTACCCGACCAATGAGACTTCGCTTGTATTCTTTACATTCCAATACACATTTCACCAATACCATACATTGAATAAAAAATGGTTCAAATGATATTACATCTGGCTCAGGATCTTTTATCTTATTTAAACAGAAAAGCATGACAACTGGAAGCACACTTTTATCGCTGAATGAAAAAGGATGTGTTTCTTGAATTACAATTAAAACCTTCATCAGCTTAATACACGCCCTCTTTATGAATTCCCAAAATTTAGGATGTCCCTTTTGAAATGATGAATCTGCCAAATAAGACACAGAAGAACAAAAGTTTATTAAAATTTATATTTGCAGCCATAAAAAATGAGTATGATTATGATGCATAAGGGCAGCAGGGTATGCTCAGTTCCTTTCAACAGGATAAAACATAATTAACAAGATATATTTTTAACAAAAGCCTCCAATCACAAACTTAAACTCCAAATATTAGTTAAAAAAATCAACTCTGTAATTAATTAACACCTGATAGGCCACAAAGATAAAATAATTAAAACTTCAGTGTCTTTACGAAACCAAAATTAAGACAATAGCTGCAGGTAGAACATGGCTGAGGAGCGAGGTAAAGAAAATAACAAGTCTTCAGTAATTTATTTTGATAGATACATTTGAAAATTTGAAATTATAGATTAAAAACACTTCTTACATTATATAACTAAAGCAGAGATGGAAGAAGAATAAGTAGCAAATTATCAAAAGCAAACAAGAAAAAACATCTCAAAAAATGTAAGACGTCCTTCCTACTCAATTGAAAAAAAAAAAAAAAAAAAAAAAAAAAAAAAAACACTTTTTTTGATAAGCAAAAAACAAAAAAAAAAAAAAAAAAAAAAAAAAAAAAAAACACTTTTTTTGATAAGCAAAAAACAAAGAAAAGAAAAAAGTAAAAAAGAAACGCATGTGTGTAAACTCATTAGAAGAAGATCCTCATACAGAAGACAAGAATTCAACTATGTCCTAGAAAAAGTGTAGCTACGTGTCTTTCCAACCATAGAACCTCAAATACATTTTAATGTGAATCACACTACTATTAGTCACCAATTAACTAAAAATGTACATTTCTCGTAGTATAAGAAGAAAGAATAAAAAAATAAATTAAAAAAAAAAAAACAATAAAAGTATGTGGTAATCTAAGAAGAAAACAAGTAATAATGGGTAGTCTACAAATAAGTAACTGTAATAACAGGTAAGCTTCGGATAAAGAAAGAGCAATATCTCACAGTATGGAAGAAATGACTGAATGGCGTTCAGGAGCACTGGTGAGACCTCCTTGACTGGTCTGACCTCCTAAAAGACTTAAGAAGTTACAAATACTCTAAACATTTCTGGACAGAGGAAAAAGAATACAGCAAACTGTTAAAAGTAGTAGACTGAGAAAGAGAAGAAAATTGAAATAAATTATTACCTGTACACTTTTTTTATCGCTTGCAAATCCAGAAATTACCAACTGACGTATGATCTTTAAGCATAACAACCACCGCTCACAGATTAGATAAAGTTCCTCTTGCTGTTGCTCCTGAGCATTTGAGGTAAAATTCTGGGTAATTGTGGTGAACCCGTGTAATATGGTCTGCACATCACACTGCCAAAGCTGCCAGCTATAATCAAATAAATGGGATGATATCTGCGAAACAAAGACCATAATCACCCTAAAGAAATAAAATGTAAAATAAAATTAGAATTTCCAACAAAAACAAATAAATAACTAAAAGAAAAACTAAAACCCCAGAGCAGAAAATAAATCGATAGGTTATAAGCCATACAAAAGGAAAACTAAATGTAGAAGAGGTAACATATTTTGAATATCTTTCATATCCTGTTACTCAGTCCTGCTAAATTGGTATCAGAGGTGAAACATACCTTGCCAGAAACAATCCAGAGAACCGGTGGTACTCTTTTTACTTGGTGTTATTAAAATTGGGCTTTTGATAGTTTTAGGAAGTTTGATAATATTGGAATCTGAAGTCTTCATTTGCAAGTTTTTCAATACCATACAAACAAACATAGAGAACACAGATATAGGATAGAAAAAGCTCTAAGAAAAAAATTGGGCAACCTAGGTGCCTACTTTTTTATGATATAATAGGTACCTAGTTTATTATATAACGCAAGTATACATGTCAACAGCCAAGTGTCCTGTCTAAAAGTGAGAGATGCTATAATAGATCAATTTCAAAAACTCACACATAAATCCCTCTATAATTAAAAACAGCAGGGTCCAGAAGTTTACTCAGTATTCAAAGGACCTTGAGCCAACTGATCAACTCATGAAGAAAGTATAATGTCCAGCAGAACTTTCTTTTCCCTAAAATACCTAATAAAAAGGTCGTGGAATGGGATGTTGTACTGTGTGTAAGGTTAAAGAAATACATGTAGATGTCACCAGCAACAAAGCATCTTCTCCATGGAATACAAAACACCCAGTTAAAACATAACTTTCCTCAGAAGAGGGAGTCCTGTGCCTTCAATGAATTAACTTGCATGTATCTTGGTTAGATTGATAAGTAAATCTTTTTCAGGGATTTTGTGTTGATCTTAAGTTAGGTTGATGGATGTACATTCTTCAGAGTAGTCTAGAACCCAACCATCCACCAAATCAATTCATAATACATTCACGCCAGAATGTTATATTAGTCAACTATACCTCTGCAAAGGTCCGCTGGCCTGCTGGGAGACGCTTAGTGGACAGTTCTTTCAAGGTCCGGAAGAGGATCAAAAAGATCCTGTGGGAAGAAAGAACATCTGCTGATTGAAGTTGTTGTCCTAAAACTGAAAAGAGGTCTGGCCTGTATAATCAATACATCAATATAAGATCGTATTTAAATGATTGCTTACAGAATAAAAAGACTGACATTTCAAATCTTATAAGCAAAAACAGGCAGCTCCCATGCAGCCAAATGAAATGCATATAATCAAAATCATAAAAGCTTTAACATCCGCAACAAATTCAAATTTTTTGGAGTGAACCCTGTACAAAAAAGTCTATTTATTAGGCAACACAGCCTCACAAATATCACACCAGTTTCACAAGGGGAAATAGTGGATAAATATGGTGAAGAATAATGCAAAAGTATACCATTCTTTGGGATAATCAATTCGAGCAATTTTTGAAATGAGCACAGCCAGAGTTAAAGCTATCTGTAAGAAGAAAATGAACAGCACGGTAAATTAGTATATCAAATTGCCAAAGTTAAGTAAACTTCTAGAACTATAAAACTGAAAATGAAGAAAAAAAGAAAAGACAGGAAGTCATTTGAATGCTTGAGAATTGCAGGTGATTTTAACACTAATAGATACATCGCAATGTCTTCCATCACAAAGCATTTTCAAGAGACGATTCATCAATGACATAAAATCTTATATCATTTCCAACAGAAGGGTAAAAAACAAAACATCCTGATTCCTGAATGAATTCATCAAAGGGGGGGAAGGGGCCAAAAAGTAGAAGGCAATACCTGATAGTTTTCTTCTCTCAAGTGCGACAACAGTTTATGTCTCAGATGTACTTTCTCCTCATTGCTAATTCCCCTGGGCAAAAATACTGCATTATAAACAAAATAATAACACACACGCGCGCACAAGAAAAACATAAAGAGATATTGTTCTAGCAAGTCATGTACTTCACTCAACATATTATTGTCTAAGAAAAGTATACAAGTTCTTAAAAATTGTGAACTTAAAATTACAGCTTTCACAACAGTAAAACATAGTACCAAAGAAGAAAGTAATGAGCAATATCTTACGAGGAATCGCGTCTATTCCTCCAATAGCGATTGATACTATTCTTAAAACACACTGACGCCAACAAACGAACATCCACCTGAGATGCCAAGTCCTTGGCACTTATAATTTCCTACATTCATTAATCAACAAAATCTAAATCTCTTAGTATAAATGTTTAAAAGTATTGAAACTCCTAAATAACATCGAAATGTATGAAAACGGATTAGTTCTATTCAGATGAAAAACTAGAAAGAAAAAAGAAAGAAATAATAAATAGTGAAAACCAGAAAAATAGAGAAGCGTACCATGAGACAAGAACAGAAGCCAGGCCTGGCCTCGCATTGAGCGAGCGCGGCCTCCGCGGGCTTACGGACGCTCTCGTCGCCGCTCATTGAGTTCGTCAGCAACGAGTATATCGCCGGCAGGTCCGAAGCCGACAGCGCCATTGAAAATGCCGTTCCTAAACAGTCCAGTCCGTGAGAAAATGATGGGAAAAACACATTCCAAACAATTTCAAATTGAAACAAAATCACCGATTTTGCATTTGCAGAAGATCATCGCCAATCGCAATTAAGCTCAGCACAGAAAAATTGTAACTGCAAAATGTGAAGAGAGAGAGAGAGAGAGAGAACTTCCACCGACCTGAGCAGATTCAAGATTCCGATAAAGGATTCGCCGGCGAAATCGAAGTTGTGAAAAGCGAAAACCACTCCGTAATCTCTATTGTTCTTCTTCTGAGTCTTCAACTGTGTCCTGTTTTTCTTGCATCAGAAGGAAAAACAATGGAAAGCACGGAGAAATGCCCTAAATCCTTCAACTGGGTATTGGGAACATATTTATATGTGCGTCTGTCCATACACTTTTTTTTTTTTTTTTGCGCTGCGAAATGTTTGATGTGTCAATTGTTTTTCCCCTGAATAATTATTACTTGAGGCTTCCTTCGTACACTTTTTTCCCGGATGCTACAGAAATATGAAACGGAAAATTCGTGGTTGAAACGACACCTGGTTTAATTAATACAATGCCTCGAAAAATGACACGTTAGTTTATAAATTAAAATCATATAATTAGAATTATTTTTAATTTATATGTATTTTTTATAAAAAAATATTGTAATAAATCATAAATTATGATTCAAATTATTATTTGAATCCTCCAACTAAACGTCCTCAAAATTTATTGATTTAAATTTTTAATTTAAATTAAAATATAATTTTATACGATAATTTTTTATTATAATAAAAAAATTAAATGTAATTACTTTTAATAATTTTTTACTATAATAAAATTTAAATTTTAAATTTAAATCAGTAAAATAAATAAAATTTTAATTTATACATGTGTCGCATCACAAAAGTGGGGAGGAGATTCCAAAAAAAAAGAAAAGGTTACTTTTAATTTTAGCCCTTAAAAAGTACTCTTATTTTACTTTACATTTTAAACTTTTAAGTGTTACACTAAATAGTTTTTGATCTTTACAAACGTTACATTTTCGACCCATCTTGTTATAAAAACTGTTAAAAAAATTAAAAAAAATTAACATGTGAGGTGCATATTATACTTTTAATTAGGATAATTTGGTAAGATTAATATATTAATATCAATTTTAATCTCCAAAAAATATAAGAGTCTCACTTTACCCTTTAAATTTTTAAATGTCATATTAATATATCCTGAACTTTACAAACGTTATACTTATTATGAATATGAAATGTTTTTAACATCTTGTTATGTTAAATACCATCCGATATTTAAATGCTTTATTATGAAAATAAAATAAATAAAATAAAAAAAGCTGATTGTTGGTGTTCGTACTAAAATGTCTTGGGAATGGTCTGCAAATAATTTTTTTATAATTATTTATTAAATTAAATTTAAATTTAAATAAATAATTCTCTTCTCAATTAGAAAAAGGAAATAAAAAATCAAGCTTCAGATAAATAACACAATGATCGTAGTAAACAACACAAAAAATGAAGACATAAGCTGACTCTTTTATAGTAACGCATACAAATATGGGACGATTTTAACATAAAAAAATATTAAAAACATTTCACATTGATAATAAGTGTAATGTTTGTAAAATTTAAGGCCATTAGTGTGACACATAAAAATTTAAAGGGCAAAATAAAACACTTTCATGTATTTATTGCGGGCCAACATTGAAATCAATATAATAATTTTACTAAAATTGTCCTAATAAAAGCATCATGTGCACTTCACAGGTTAATTTCGTCTATTTTTTAACAGTTTTATAATGGTTGGATCGAAGTAATGTTTGTAAAATTTAGAAATTATTAATGTAACACTTGAAAGTTTATAAGACAAAATAAGACATAGTATTCCTCAGGGTCAAAATTAAAATTGACCCAAAAACAAAAGAAAACAAAAATAAAGGAATATGATTAAAAAAATAGAGAACGAATATGTCATCTGTTTCTGTGGATAAAAAAGGAATTTACAAGTATAAGACATGCAAATCAACTATTCTCCTTATACATGAACAATTTTAGCACCAAGTTTCTCTTTTATTTATTTATTTTAAGAAATCATATTATTATAATCTAAATATCGGGAACGTCACGGTAACCATTTAATAAGACCTCCATTATAATATTTAGGGTTTGTTTAAAATGTATACTCAAATCATAATTTGACGTTTAAAATTTAATTTTTTATAAGAGAAAAAGTATTGTAGTAAAATTAATGTTTTGAGTTTGAGTATATGAAACAAATGAACCCTAACGGTAAATGCGTAGTAATTTTTCTTAAAAAAAAAACCCCATGAATAATTTATTAAAACAAAACATCCACTGAAAAACTGAAAAATAGTTTAGTGTCACACTTCCAAACGTAACATCTAAAGTAAATAAAGGGGAAGGAGACAATACTCTTAGAATGCAAGTCTGGATCATTACCTTTTACTTTTTATTAATATCTTTTTAATTAAATAATTATATATTAATTAAAAGAGTATTGATCAAGAGTATAAGATATCTAGATCCATATACTCTAGAAATAATTAGTTCAATAATTTTCTCAATAAACAATAAAGTACTTAAACTCAAACGATCACAAACATAAACATTTAAAATATGCCGAAATCCATAAATTTATGTAAATAAATTAAAACTTGATAAACAGACATTGAATGTGTCTTGCTCGATATTCCATTTCACCATCGCACACATCCACGCCTTTGCTTCCCCACCCCTAACTTATTATTTCTAATTGCAACATGCCAAGAAAAAAAAAAAATCGTAAGCGCTAATGCTTAGTAAGTACAATTATATAATTCCCACGAAACATCTATCAACATTCATTATGTGCTCAATTATCACTTTAATCATTAAGGCCTCATTCAGTTTGTGAATTCGAGTTTAAATGTGATTTTATGTGAGAGTTTTTTACTGTAATAAAAAAATTAGATGTGACTTTTTATGAGAGCTTTTAACTGTAACAAAACTTGAATTAAAAACTCAAATTTGTGAAATAAACGATACCTAAATTCTCTTTTCTAGCTACATCATCAGGCCCTAGACAATGTGCTAAGCACATAATAGAACAGAAGCGGGGTAGCAAGCTGCGCCATCATCTGCCATGGTAACATCAATAACGAGAACCTCACATCCCAGTGCCATCATTTGGAGCACCTCACGGCTCGATGCTTATTAGAATTCCACATTAATTGGAGATATTGGCATAATTCACTTAATAAGGTGAGGGCAATCCTCCCGTAATAAGTCAGTTTTGCTAGGTTGAGTTAGACTCAATATTCTTCGATTTTTTGTAAAATGGTATCAATACATGCCTAATTTTGTAATGTTAGGTCCTCAAATATCGACTTATTTGTAGCGGTTTGTCATGGTCCACACTGTGCGTAGGGGGTGTATTAGAATCTCACATTGGCTGAAGATATTGACATGATCCACTTAATAAGGTGAGATCAATCATCCCCTAACAAGCTGATTTTGTTAGGTTAAGTTAGGCTTAATATCCTTTGATTTCTGTAAAACAATCTAACAAAATTGGTTTGTTTGGGGAGGATTGTCTTCACCTTATTAAGTGGATCGTGCCAATATCTCCAGTCAATGTGGGATTCTAATATGCCTCATCACGCACAGTGTGGACCATGCTAAATCGCTGCGAATAAGTTGATATTGAGGGACTCAACATTGTAAAATTGGGATTGTTCTGATACCATTTTACATAAATCAAAAGATATTATACATAACTCGACCTAACAAAACCGATTTATTATTATCCTCACCTTATTAAGTAGATCATGTTAATATCTCTAATCAATGTGGGATACTAATAATGCTATTAAGTAGTAGGTACCTCATCAAACGTACCAGCCCTCTTCTCTCTCTCTCAAAGTTGCCCTCTTTCTCAGATTTCGCCTCCACCACCTATCGGCTTTTCCATTAACATAGTCAAATGATTTTGCAAATAATTCCATAATCGACGGTGTTAATAAGGCAATAGCATTAAAAGTAATTTCACATTTAAACAGCTAAAACTACGTACCGAAAAAGCTGAAAATAAAAAGCAAAGGATTCAAAGTGTCCGATAATTGGTTTTGCGGAAAGAGTCGGGTTGTTTGGGGAGAGAGAAAATTAATACGTCTTTTTATCACAACTTTTAAAAACATCGTGCATGGTCGGTCATATATAGGTAAATATTAAATTATAAAGGCTTTTTAGTCAAAGATACTCTTTACCCTTCTACTAACTATGTGACAATAATTGATAAAGCTTGGTCTTTTTTTAATCTCATTTTCGTGCATGTCTTTAACAGGTGTCACCTAACAAGGCAAGTTGTTTATTTGTTTATTTTTTTTTATTTTGCTTGCATATCGATTTTTTAATCTCGACGTTCATTATGGGACGTTTGGTTGGAGGATTCAAACCATGATTTGAATTATGATTCATAGTTAACTACAGTGTTTTCTCTCACAAAAAATATACGTAAATAAAAAATAGTTATAATCACATTATTCTAATCTATGAACCAAACGTCTTTTTAAGTATAATGTATGTTACTACATGCATCTATCGTACTTTAATAAATTTATGAATATTGAAGGCAACAATTTGTTAATATAATAGGTTAACAAGTTGGATGGAAATTAGACACGGATTGCCCTTGTTTTTAGTGGTTAAGAATTTCAATGAGGCCTCATTTTTCTTTAAGAGAGTAGATCTGTTAGCTTTCCGATAGTTTCTTCTTCTTAGCGTGATTGTTCTTCCATTTTGTGTGTATCCCTTTTGGTTTGTCATTTTTACTTTAAATATTGTCCTTAATTTGTATCTTGAACAATTCGGACCTGTTTAGTTCGTTGATTCGAGTTTTTAATTTAAGTTGATATGTGACTTTATGTGAGTGTTTTTTACTGTAGAAAAAAAATTAGACGTGACTGTTTTTAAGAGCTTTTTCTCAAATTTTAAATTCGAATCGGTAAAATAAATGAGGCATTCGTTTTTCTAAGTGAATATTGTTATTTTTTTTCTTTTTATTAATAAATCTAAGCGAGATTAGCTTGATCTTGGATTTCAATTAAAGTTGATCATTTGGCATTTCGTTAGAATCGCATTTGAACAAAAGACTCACGAAATTTGGTTATTAGCACCATTAGTCCTTTAATTACGAGAATTGTGTCACTTTATTTGCTAAACTTTTGATTTTGATAATTAATCCTTGAATTTTTTTTGACCACTTTGGTTCCCGGTATTAAAATTGATAAATGATTTCTAAAAAAAGAGAACCACGTATCATTCACATAATAATTGAAATTTTCATAGAAATTGTTAAAATATTAGATGTAAAGAATCCTAACCCGCTCTTTAGGTTAAATATGGTTCCGCCACTCTAGTGATGACTAATGTTTTTGGTGTTATACCCTTCCATCGTGGTGTTATTATATAGTATAAGATCACGTTTGGTTGGAGGATTCAAACCATGTGATTCGAACTATTTTCGATTTACGTGAATTTTTTGTGAAAAAAAATATTATAGCGAACCATGAATCATGATTCGAATCAGGGAATGAATCCCTCTACCAAACATTTGTTAACTGTCAGTTACGTTTTTCATCTTTATGTCATTAAGTACGGTTTCTTTTTTTTTTTGAGTAATGATTCGTGACATGATTTATAATTTGTTACATTATTTTTTTATTTAAAATATACATAAATTATAAATAATTATAAATCATAATTTTAAATTTATGAACTAAACGTTTATAATTTAGAGATAGATATATTAGCCAAAAACGGTAGAGAATCTACAAATGATAATTTGGTCGTGACAATCGCGGTTGGATGGGGAATTTCTGTCGCGCGCGCTTTGTCATATTGGCTCTGATCAACAACATGAAGTAGTGCCCTTGCTTTTAAAGTGATGGGAAATCTTTGGACTCATACGTACATGTTTGGCGATGATTAGACGCCCATATTTTTATCTGGTGCTCCACTTGTACTGATGGTATTTAAAAAAAAAAAAATTATAAATTTCTCTTTTAAATATTAGTTCTCATAAAAATATATTAATATTTAAACTTCGTTTATTTCACTTATTTGAGTTTAGAATTTAAGTTTTGTTACAGTAAAACGTTCTAAAAAATACACATTTAATTTTTTTATTACAGTAAAAAGCTCTCACATAAAATCACATATCAATTCGAATTAAAAAAACTCAAATCAACGAACTAAACGAGCCCTTAGCCTTACATTTTTAAGAATCGCAACTCAAATTTTCTTTTAGAAAGTTGATCAATCAAGACTCAATATATCGAAAACAATTCGGTACACCTATTAGGCGTCAATTGACTGAAAATATCCTTCGATGAAGTGAAAATGCAATATTTAATCTTACTTTTAGGAATTTTGAATTTACTCCACATTAATTTTCCCCCACCAAATCAATTTTTTTTTTAATTATGCCCCACCTAGCATTTAGATTACTTTCACTATTTTCTTTCTATTTCTTTTCTACTCTCCTGATCTATTTCTATGTAATTTTAGAATCACTAATTTTCATAACAAAATTAAAATAAAATTTCTTCCATAGATAGAATGTAGGATGCCAATAAATTAGAAAGAGGAAAAAAAAAACAATTTTCCATGTATGTTATGGAGAGGAAATTATGAAAAATGGATCAATTTAAAATTCAGCACAGAATATAGAGTGTCACACAATTGAACAAAGTCAAGAATTGAGCCACACCTTATCGAGGATGGGTGGCCGCCTAATCTGAATTTTTTTTATTTTAATTATATATATTGTTAAAATTTATAGGGGTTGTTCTTTTGGAGTGTAACTTGAGTGTAGTTTTTGAGTTAAATTTGAGTTATAACTTGAGTTAAAATTGTAACTTGAATAAAGTTGAGTAAAGTTAGAACTTAAAAGAACGTGAACTTGAATAAAGTTGTAACTTGAGTTTAAACTTTTTCTGAATTTTGTTGCAAAAGAACAACCTCATAATTTCTCCTCTTAAAATCTAAAATTATATATATATATATATGTATATATCTTCCTCGCTTATTTTTCAATTTGTAGCGTTTTAATGTAAATTCGAAGTTAAAATGAGACAACGAATATTGTTCAGGGTGAAAGAGTGAAATTAACCCTTTTTTTTTTATTTTACATGCAGGAAAAAAAAAAGAAGCGGCAAACTAATTATAAAAATAATTACCTAGGAAAGCTTCACTTTCTTTGACACAAATACATAGGACCCGTTTAGTTTACTAATGTGAATTTTTAATTTAAATTAAGATGTGATTTTATGTGAGAATTTTTTATTGTAATAAAAAAATTAAATGTTACTGTTTTTTAAAATTTTTTAGTATAGTAAAACTCGAATCGGTGAAATATAAACGGATTAATAATATATAGTAAGTGGGTGGTAGATGAAGTAGAGCGACGATGAAAACGACAGTATTTAGTGAATGATGACGCTCGTTCTCAAAACAGTCCTACGTACGTGAGCTCTATACCGTGTACAGACTCCTCGAAATCTGATATAAATATGTGAGAGGCAATGAAGGATTCTCTTAGGAAAAACACAAACATTCCTCGTGTTCTTCCTCTGTTCCTCTTTCCTTCCTGTTTTCCTTCTGCTCCTCGGCGATCGAGCTGATTTCTTTTTTTTTTTTTTTTGGAATATATATAAACTTTCTTTCCTATAAATTCCTCCAGTTTTCTAGAGAAAATGGAGAAGCTGAGTAACTTTCTCGAGGTCTCAAAACCCTACTTTGCCATGATCTCTTTACAATTCGGCTACGCCGGCATGAACATCATCACTAAGGTGTCTCTCAACCGCGGCATGAGCCACTACGTCCTCGTCGTTTACCGCCATGCCTTCGCTACGGCTGTCATCGCCCCGTTCGCCATCTTTTTCGAAAGGTGCGTAGTTCTTAACAATATGGTTAGAAAAAAACACTCAAAAATTAAGGTTACTTTCATTTTACCGAATCGAGTTTAGAATTCGAGTTTAATTACAGTAAAAAGCTCTTAGAATCAGTCACATCTAATTTTTTTATTACAGTAAAAAGCTCTCACATAAAGTCACATCTTAACTCAAATTAAAAACTCAAATCAGCGAACTGAACGGGCCCGATACGCAGAAGATCTAAATCCCCCTTTCTCTTCTCGTTTTTTTTTTTTTTTTTTTTTTTCAGGAGAGCACAGCCCAAGATTACTCTCCCAGTTTTCATGCAAATATTTATGTTGGCTCTTCTGGGGTTAGTTGTCCTTAACTGCTTACTAGCTTTTTTCTTAAAAAGCTACTTCTTGGGTTCTTAGCTAGCTTAATTTTTACCATTATATTGTAATATTTATATATCTTCTGTGCAGGCCGGTGATTGATCAGAATTTCTACTATGCCGGTTTGAAATTTACGTCTCCGACTTTCTCATGCGCCATGAGCAACATGCTTCCCGCCATGACCTTCGTGATGGCCGTCATATGCAGGTAAGCAAATTGAACCTAAACAACAGAGTTACGCGGGATATCAGACTTTCTGTGACGGATCAAATTTTGATTAGCGAGTGATTAATTGTCACTGATAATGGTATTTTTTGTGTGTGTAACGATGTGATGAAAATAAATAATAAAAAAAAAAGAATGGAAAAGGTAGACATGAAGAGAGTGAGGTGCCAAGCAAAGGTAGTGGGAACTGCGGTGACTGTGGCTGGGGCCATGTTGATGACATTATACAAAGGTCCTATAGTTGAGATGGTCTGGTCTAAGCATGTCCATCCCCGGAAATCCTACGTTACCGACACGACCGGAAACGGCGAGAAGCACTGGTTCATCGGATCCATCTTCCTCATCATTGCCACTCTTGCATGGGCTTCTTTGTTTGTCTTGCAAGTAAGTTAATTATGGACAAAAACTATTATTATTAAACGTACTGCTTTTTTTCTTTCTTTTGTTGTTGTTGTTATCAAAGAGCTAATCACTATAATGATTTGTCTACAGAACAAGGCGTTGAATACGTACAAGAATCACCAGCTTTCCCTCACAACACTAGTATGCTTCATTGGAACTCTTCAGGCCACTGCTGTCACCTTTGTTATGGAACACAAATCCTCTGCGTGGAAAATTGGGTGGGACATGAACTTACTTGCCGCTGCCTATGCTGTAATTTCCTCTCTCTCTCTCTCTCTCTCTCTTGCTCTCTCTCTCTCTCTCTCTAGCTCTCTTTCTCTTTCATATACTAGTAGAGGTGGTTACTCTCTGAATTTTAGTACTAAAGAGTTGTGTATATGCACGAATTGTGATGTATAGGGGATTGTTACCTCAAGTATTTCATACTATGTACAAGGGTTGGTGATGAAGAAAAGAGGACCTGTATTTGCCACCGCTTTCAGCCCTTTGATGATGATCATTGTTGCCATCATGGGCTCCTTCATCCTGGCTGAAAAGATTTTTCTTGGAGGGTACGTAATTAATATTAATTATATATATATATATATCATACCTGAAATTAGTTAGATAAATTTGCATGCATATTTTTATTGATATCCATAAACATCTTTACTAACTGCCACAGCATCTTTTTTTTTTTTCTAATTCCGTCTTAGTGCGAAAACGACAACATTTCTTATTGCTTAGTGATTTTTAGTGTAATTAATCACTACCATCCTATTGATAATGATATATCCACGCAATAGCCATAATAATGATACTTATGTAAAAGTATATTTCTATCTGCTTTGTCCAATAAGGATATAAATAAATTTTTTTTAGGTTAATATATTACTTTTTGATACACTACTTTATTTGATATATATATATATATATATATTTACTTTTGGGTGCAGTGTTCTTGGTGCCTTGTTGATAGTCATTGGCCTTTACTCGGTCCTATGGGGAAAGCACAAAGAAGGAATTGAGAATAAATTAGAAGAGGAAATACCTGAAGCCATAAAGGGCCCTCAAGTTAATGGATTTTCAGTGATCGAAGAAATTGAAGCCATTAATGGAACAGAATTGAAAAGAGCAGAGCAAATTATAAACGACAAGCTTATTATCACTTCAGTTGCCATAAGCATGCCCATCCAAGAGCCTTCCATGAAAACCAACCCAGAACCAAAAGCAGCTTAATTAATAAAATTATGGATTAACTGCTGATCGGTTGTAATTATACGGGGATGGGCTTTTTTGTCTTTGCGTCCCCAAGTTTTCTATTTTCCTTTTTGTTTTTAGTTTCCATTCAAGATATTTGGGGTTTTGTTGTCTTGAATGTAAGCTATATAATGTTATAAAGAGTTTGGTGAGCTAATGAAATTCTGCAAATTTCAAAAGTCTTATCGTTTTTTTTTTTTTCCTCCATTAATTTACAAGAGCACTGCATAAGAGAAATCAGTTAATCCGGTTTCGCGTTTAAAGCGCGGGTCCTGAATTAAAAAAGTGTAAAAGTTAAATTATTTGTAATTAGTACGTACTACAGTATAATCTCAATAACTTAATACTGAATAATAAATTAATAGCCTCGATTAAATAACATTTTTTAGCCCGTTTACGACTTAATCCCAAAGATATTAATTTATCTCGATTAATTAATAATTTTTCGTGTATGTTTATAGTATATGGATTCTGTTACAATACAAATTCATAATTTTGGTCCAAAGATATTAATTTATCTCGATTAATTAATAATTTTTCATGTATGTTTATAGTATATGGATTCCGTTACAATGCAAACTCATAATTTTGGTTCTGTTCAGTATTTTTATCTCACAAAAAATTTAATGGGATGTTTATTTTAAGAGTTCGTCTCTAATTTTGAATCATGATTCTTGATTCTCTACAATGTTTTTCTCTCACAAAAATTTTGAATTTTAAAAATTAAAATAATAAATCATGGTTTTGAATCCATATACCAAACGTCTCATAAATTTCAAAAGTTAGAATCAAGAAATCTGATTTGAACCTATAGTTCAAAGGTATTAATTTATAGATATTTAACTGTACTGCTTATGATTAGGAATTTTTTATCTAAACTTTAGTCTGCAATAGCTGACGCCCGATGTAGATTCCAAGGATCATACGTGTTCTATATATGTAGTGTGATTGACAGTCTAATACGCGCGCGCTATATATATATATATATTATATTTGGGCAAGTTGAGTCCATGTTGGCCAGCTACACATACATATATGTTCCCTTTGGAATCTTTATTCCATTTGCTTTTTTTGCATCCGATGCTTTCATTCTCACACTTCACTTCGACAAATTATAACTATAGCACTAGAGAGCCACAATATTATATACATGTTGTGTGAGAAAATGTGGGTGATATTTAGAACGGCGATAGAATGACACGTGGTCTTACTTTCCTTTAAAAAGTGATAACCCTCGACGCTTATAGCTCGCTTCCCCTCGACGCCAAGAAAGGCCCAAATTAGGGCGTCGACCAGTTGTGCCGTCGAACTTATGCAACAAACTTCCTCTGGAAAGGGTCAACTGTCAGAAAGGACACGAGGTCTACGCGACACAGACGGCGAGGGGAATACTCTTCAGAAAGGAGCCTGACATCACAAGTCGCGTCTAGAGGTGGGAGACGTTTGCAATACAGGCATTAATTGCAAACCCCTAAACCGCCCTACAGTGGGCAGTGAAGGATTACAGGAATCCACAGAGCCGTAATAGAAGACCAATTGGATGAGTGAACAGTCCAAAAGGTGATTAGTGGGCTACGGCTCAGGCCTAGAAGGGTAGGCCACTCGAGTACTTCTACCTACGAAGGAAAACCACCCACGAAGGAAGCTTGAGCTATAAAAAGGTCAAAGCCCCATGCACGAAAGGGAGAGGACTTCTCGAGGATTAGACCATAGAGAGAATATACGTGCATGTAAATTGTAAAGAGTCCAAGAGAAATATATCATACATAAGTGGATGTATCTCTTCATTAACAGAGTGAACCACTATAAATATCGTGTGTCCTCTCATTCAAGTGTTATACTCATGCTTACGAAACACAACAAACACTTCACAGCTTGATTTCAAATATACCGTTAATTTCCAGCCAGTAACCCAACGGGATACCAATGGATAACCCGGCGTATTTCTGTTGGTGGAATTCAGCCGTCAACAATACATATTCCTAAATCAAGCAAATCATTTGCAAAAAGATACTGTATAGAATACCAATACATGTCAATTTCATTTGGAATATATAATTTCGATTGTGTTTTTCTTTTTTCTCTCAGAAATATGAATGAAATCAGATTTTCTTTCTTTTTTTGTTTATTATTATTATTATTATTATTATTATTATTTTGTTCTTTTTTCTTTTTCTACCGAGTGTGGGAGAAGAGTGGAATTTTATTTTCTTGAGAGGTGGCTGCTGATAAGTAAAATCACTCCTCTTGATTCTTTCTTAAGCATATCACATTGGAATCTTTCATTGGTAAGGCAGTGCGACTCAGGTGATATATAATTCAGGTCTCCCTTTCTTATATTCTTATACCAACCAGAGATTTTGCTGATATTATTCTCCCAAAACTTGGAAATAAACTTGGGACTAGCACCTAACACCTACACCCATTTTTGTTCTAATTTAAAGTTTAGATGGTTTTAACGATCAAGGTTTTAAGGACGGACACTTTACAGAACACTATAAATTTCAGGCTTAAATTGATATATGCTAATAAGCATAAATTATTGTAGAGAATGTCAAAGTTAATAATACTTAAAAAGTGTAAAACCCGTAAAAATCATAAATTTATACATAAGAAACCACAAAACTTTCGTAAAATCCAAAGATGTTGAATCAAATACACAAAAGTGCAAGCATAACTTTACCCAGTACACAAAACTTAATGATATGAGTGTGGTATATTCTGTAATAGTTTTAGTACCCATGATAAATATCAATTCAATCTTAAAAATCATGACATATTGCTTAAATATCTCGGTATTGTTGGATTTGAAGTTACAATACTTCATGTCAATGAAGTTACCATGAGGTCCAAACTTGAGCCATATATGTCCCGTTTATTTTACCGATTCGAGTTTTGTTACAGTAAAAAGCTCTAAAAAATAATCACATTTAACTTTTTACTGAGTAAAAAGTTCTCACATAAAGTCACATCTCAATTCGAATTAAAAACTTGAATTAACAAACTAAACAGACCCATAATGGTTTAGCTAGTCTAGCCCGGTTTTGACTCTTTAGAAATTGGTCTGGTTTAGGTTTGGACTTTCCAAGAGATAAAAAAAATTAAAAAAAAATCCAACTCCAAAGTCGAGTTTTTTCCTTTTGAAAGAAGAAAAAGAAAGAAAACTTAATTTAGATCGCCGCCGTTGCCCCACATGTCAATATTTTTCCATTGACTTATGTAAGAATCAGAAACCATTGCGTATTGGTGACACCAAACCAATTATATGTCCGTATAAATTCTGAACTTCATTGACATGAAGTATTGTAACTTCAAATCCAACACACCAGCAACGTAATTATCATATGATGGAATAATCCACGTAACAAAATATTCATCTTCTTCAATAGTAATGATGCCATCAAACACCAAAATAGAAAGTTTTTTTGCTTTGTCACATTAAATAGATCTAGTGGTTTTTTTCTTTTTTCCTCCCTTTGTCACATTAAAGGTTTTTTTTTTTTCTTCTTCTTGAACTAGTATCGACCAGTTTCATAAAGTCAGCTGTCAGATTCAAATCGGATAAAACGGTACTGCCCATTTATGTATATATACAATGGTCTCGTTCATTTCACCGATTCGAGTTTTCAGTTTTAGATTTCTATAGTAAAAAACTCTTAAAAAATGTCACATTTAACTTTTTATGCTACAGTGAAAAGTTCTCAAAAAATGTCACATCTCAACTCGAATTGAAATTTAAATCCGCAAAGTGAACGAGACAATGTATACTGTTCATTCTCATAAACGTCTCTCTTTCTGCAACAAATTGGAGAATCCATTAATATGCTTCCGAACGGCACAAAACTAAGTGGGCAAGTTGCGTCTATCCCTTATAAAGAATATTGATTGCTGAGTACGTAATAGTTCCATGAATCTCATGCTCATGCGTTCGATAATTATGTATACGCGTCTTGATTCTGTTGTTATTCTGGTTAGATTTGATTCGAAAAAAATATCCAACCTCAAGAAACAAAACAAAATAACAAATTATATGATCTTGTGCATATCCATATAAAAAGTGTCAAATGCTATCTCTTACATACATGCATGCACGCACACACACACTTATATACTACGCTTTGACGTCACGTCGTCGCTTATAAATTTTTATCTAGCACTAGTACAAAAAGTTGATTTTACGATGGTTTTTAACGGTCATCAAAAGATATGATGACGGTTTTATATACGACGGATAGTTTTTAAATCTAATTTTAGGGTATAAAAAATTAAATATGTAACCACATATGGTATAAAAGGGTAAAATATCTCGATTATAAATCCTCCTCGTTATATAATGATCATATTAATCAATATTGCACTAGAAAAATTCACGGTTCGGAAATTGGATTTGAAAAATGAGAAGATAAACGTACTGGATTTAATATGTATTTAAGTTAACTTGCAGCCAAATATTAGTTTAAGAGAGATTATGAGAGATTTGCTTTGGAGATAAATAAGAACGAGTGACAACGAATATCTAAGAATTCGAATATGTTATGATTTTTCCATATATAAAAGGAATATGTTGTCATTTTAATGCCAAATGAATATACTCTGTCCTTAATATTAAGCGTTCACATGATCACTTGAGTTTATATTACACACATGTATATATATATATATATACATATACATATATATATATATGAGCACAATATATATCCCAAAAAAGAATCTTACTTTCCCTTTCGAGTAATATAGTACAGTAGATTACGGTTCGTATTCCTTCCGCACTTCTTATATAATTTATTTTTCGATATCCAATTCTTCTGATATACGTAGCTTGCCAGCTATATATCATTGAGTTTTTTTTTTTTTTTTTTGTGATTACTATATAGAGAATTCAGTACTCTTTTCTTTGTAGGAGATTGTTAAACGACGGAAACAAATGGGGTGTTCGGCAATTGAGTTTTTGAGTAAAAACTAAAAAAAAAATAACTCGAGTTATAATTTTATTTATGAGCCCGTTTGGTTGGAGGATTCGTTCTCTGATTCGAATCATGGTTCAT